AAATTTTTTCAGTGGTATACGAGGTTTGTCAAAAAATATGATTTTTACTCAAGCTCAAGAGTAAAATACCTTTATTCTTTATACGACTGATAAAATTTGATAGTTGTATTTTAGGTTTTATACCATGCTCGACTTTTTATAAAGAACAACTTTTTTTCCTAAAATTAGTAATAAAAAAGCTTTCCTATGCCACCATCTGTCTACGTAAATTGGCGTATTCGAGAATTTTGACAAAATGTAAACAAATATTTTTTTATAAAAATTGTTCAAATAAAACTTGTTTGTAATATAATTCTCTATAATTTTTATCCTATACATAATTTTTCTAAAATGGACCGTATTCGAGATATTTGAGAAAATGTGTAAATTTCGAATTTTGAAGAAAACTCAAAAACGGATAAAGAAAAAAACATTAAATTTTAAACTTAAGGTTTATTTCGGCCTGACGTGAAATGATTAGATTTTGGATAAAATCGGAACAACTTGGGGGGTACTTTATGGGAGGCCGTTTTTATATTTTATGGAATATGTCTGTTATTTATGTTTGGAGAAGAAAATTGTTTAAATAAAAGTTACTTCTAATATTATTATCTATAATTTTTGTTTTATGTCAAAATTTCCTAAAATGGTCTGTATTCGAGAAATTTGACAAAATGTGCAAAATTCTGATTTTTATGAAAATTGTTGAACTAAAAGTTGTTTGCGATATCGATCTCTATAATTTTTGTTTATTCATGATTTTTCTAAAATGGACCGTAATGGAAAAATTGGAGGAAGAGTGCTAAATTTAAATTTTTCAGTATTTTCGTTTTCAATGAATATCTATAGAAAAATGTTTCGAGGTAGAGGTATGTGGAAAATGTATATATTTAGTTTATCCTCTAAACATTTATAGAGATGCTGCAATAGTACAAAATAACCGGAAAGAGCCTATAATAACTAGATAGGAAAGTCATGTGTTGGACACATCAGATTTTTAATTAATAATTGCAAAAAAACATAGTATGGCAAAAAATATCGTAAAAAAACTGTAAACATTTTTAAAATAACGTTTTAAATATATTAATTACTTTAATTTTATTAACTAAAATTTCATTTAATTTTTTTATGCTTAGTTATTAGTGTTATTACTTACTGCAATGTTGTTTTTTTTGCAGCAGGTGATGTTTCAAAAATAGTTGAATCAGAACTAAAAACATATAGGTAATAAATAATGTTTAGAGGTAAACAAAACATTTATATTTTGTATTTTTACCTGTTGGATAAGTCATCCAAAAATAGAAAGCATCATTTGCACGTACCAAAACATCTTCAGGAAAAAAGTGTTCTGAACACAACTCTGGGTTTTTACGAAGAGGCTGATTTTCAAGGATCACTACTAGAGAAAACCAAAGTTTTCTTTTCTCAGGATCTTGCTGAAACCTAAATAGAATATTAAAAAATATGTATAGGTGCCTAATAGGTAAATTATTTTTAAGGTATTCTACATTTTACGTTAAATTTTCTTTGCCACTATTCAATAATTATTTATTGGTATAAGAATAATTTACTAATTTATAAAAGAAATATCACTTTAAGACTGTTATAAGACTGTTTTAGACCACACAATTACAAGATTTTGATACAATTTAAATTGTATACCTAGTATCAAACCTAGAGTAAATTTTTCAAACAATTTACTATGTGATACTGTACAATTTAAATTCTATAAGAAATTGTATCAAATCATGTACAATAAATTGTATAGTTAAAACAGTCTTAAAACGGGTGCCCTACTCCACTGGTTCTAATGAAAACATATCTTAACCTAAAAATACTTACCGATGAAAGGATACATTTCGATTTAAATGATCTACTTTATTGCACACTACACATGCATGTACCATAATTCTTTATATTTTTCACAAAAGTTCACAAAAATAGTACTTTATAAATGAATAAATCAATATAAGTCACACAGAAACTGTCAGAAACACAAAACAGCTGTTAGACCCGATTGGCAACGTTGCGGCTGGTTACGGTAACTACATTTCATTCACAAAAATAGGTATGTTGTAAATTCTTTTGCTGTATTTACGGAGTTCGTTGTAACCCTAATATTTTGTTTTAATTAATATTGATTTTTAATGAAAAAAATTAGCTTATATTAGAACTTTAAAGAATAATTTGATTAAAAAAATTTTTATTTATATAATATAAAATTATAGTTATAGAATACATCAAATTTTATTTTTTGGAAGTAATTTCTCCAAATAATTTTTACAGACTGATAAAACCGGCAAAGACGCAATAAACGAGAATCTGGTGGGAATAATGATTTGCCACATAAAAATGTAAACAATTTGGTCTCTAGTTGTAACGTCTTTGATAATTACCTAAGTTGCAAGTTGTTCATTAAAAAATCTTATAAGTCCACATACATGGTCATACATTATCCATTACAAAAAAGTTCATTATACGGTAGGTCTAAGAAGGATCTAGAGAAATGAATTGTGATAGGATTACAGGTTTACAAAATATAAAATTATGGCCAAAGACTAGGAATTTAATTGCTTGTGAGTTCTTTATTGAAACAGTTTATAAATATGCGTACTTTAATATTTTAAATATGCTATAACAACTTTGTTAGTTTCTGAATATCTAAAAATTAAAAACATTTAACAGATCCTCAGTTTGAAGTACTCAAAGAGCAGATAAATCTGGGTAATTCTCCACTTCTGAACTGTCTTCTTAATTTTATGTTCATTGTGAGTTTTCTTCTATGAAAACCATTGAGTTCTCGTTAGGTACACGTTAAATTATAAATGTCATATCTACTTATTGCTACTCATTCAAATAAGAAATAGCCCTTTCATTTTATTGGCTGTTCAACAATTTAACATAAATAGAGTAACTATGATGCGTTATTTTCATGTTCACGAAACAAATGTTGATATTTTTATAGTTTACAGCTTACATGTTCTTCTCTTGATCTTTCAATTAATTCAATTAATAATACCCATTAAATAGGGTCCTATGTATAAACATACACCTCTGGAGTACCAAACATGTAACGAAACTGACATACACCTTTGTATTTCTCCTATTTGTATTCGTCGTAATCAGTGGCGGCTTGTGGTAATTTAAAATGGGTGTTCACTTTTTCCAATAATTTTATCATTTGTAAGTTCAGTTCAAAACTTTGTACAAGAGCCAATATAACTCTTTTTTTTTTATTATTTGAGTTTGTATTAAGTGTAGTTATTATTTTCAACATCATACTGTTTACAAGCACTACACATATTAATAATTAGTGTAATATTTGTTTTGTTTTTAATACATTGAAAACCATCTATAAACATTATTAGTTAGTAAACTGACTATTCTTCATAATTTGAGATTATTTTTAAATATATATCAGGTTATGTAGAAAGCTTGACATTGATTTTTGTGAAAAAAATATATGAAACTTTACCTACCATTTTTCAGTTTTTATTGTAAGTTTAATCATTTTCACAATTTGTCACAGATGTCAAATAAAAAATATATTTTTTAAATACCTTTTATTGGCAAATAATAGAAGAATTAAAATGTTTATTTTATAAGATCAGTCCCATCACAATACTTACTATTACACAGATACAAACTAGAATAAAGATATATAATGCCTGGCAGTTTAACAGACCCCCTTAACTACCTATTTTCTACCAGATTGTTTTCACAATCGAGAGGCCTCATCTCCTTAAAGGGCTTGATTTTTACTAAAAATTTCATGTTGATTTTTTAATTTTTTTAATTTCAACCCCCCTTAAATCCACCATATTTAAGCAGATTTTTTTATAATTAAAGGGCTTCTTCTCCTTTCAGAGCTTGATGTTTGCTAATAATTTAAAGTTGATATCATTCTTCTTTTTTCAGTTAGGATTTTTTTTAATATTTTAACCCCCCTTAACGCCCCAATATATTCATATTTTTTTTTTTTCAGTATCAATAGGCTTTATCTTCTTATAAAGCTTCATCTTTACTTAAAATTTCATGTTGATGGTGCTGAAGTATTTAATACTATAAAAAACTAAATTAATCTGACTTTAATCCTTCCTAAAACTGAAACCGTTGATAACCACTAATAATGATTCTAAAACTATTAACTATTTCTCAATAAATTACTTTCAGTCCTAATGACGATTCTGACTTTCCTTTGTCATCTCATCGAAGATATATTTCTCCTATATTATTTTGTTTAATCAACTAATACCTACTTGGCAGTAGGTAATTCTAATAATTCTAAAATAAAAATATATGTTGCTATAATATGTAACAGTTGCGTTCTTTGATTTAATTACCTCATTGAATGTTTCCTGGGCGTTTACATAATATGCGGGCATAGATACATTCTCTCGTATACAGGCTGTAACAAAAAGGTAAGTCATTATACCAGATATTCTGCAGTCAAAAACAGATCAGTTAGACCTGCATAAAAAAAGTTATATTCTTTTGCAGTTAGACATTGAAAATCGATTTTTCCAATAATTAGGAAAATAATAAACTGTCATAAAAATAATTATGTGGCCATATTATTATGTGGTTTGTACAATAGTAATTAATTACAAACCGGGACAAAACCATCGAGCGGCCGGGACATACCTTCGAAATCGGGACTGTCCCGGCCGAATCGGGACGTATGGTAAGCCTAAGCATTAAACTTTTAAAATAAAAATTAGTCATTTAAGTATTAACTATTGTAATGACCTGTCAATGAAAATATCTAGAAGCTCCTTCCTGCTTCCTCTATTTCCTGTTTGACTTTATTATCGAATTGTAAAGTCAAAAGGATCTTCATTACAATATTAAACAAGAAGATTAACAAAAAAATAGGTTTTTGCAATAATAAAAATTTAAAAATATGATACCTAATACTTATTTTATCGATCTTTTATTTTCAACAAACTGTTCTAAAAGTATTATCAATATCTTTTAGACTAGTTAGTTATTTAAATAATAGGTATTTTATTTTCTTACAGATTAAATCACCAAAACTTCATATCCGATCCAGAAAAGCCCCATCTCCGGATGGATTTATTCCACATTCTTCAAAATTAGACAATATCGAAAACAATCCTTTTTTTATAGTATGGAACAAAGGAATAATAGAAAACACCTTTATAGCCAAGAATGAACCAGTGTCTCTAAAGAATATTAAAAAAGGAATTTCCAGCTTATTCCAAGTAAGTTATGATTTTTTTTTGTTTATTTTGAAAACAACTAGAATCTAGACTAAAATAGAGATTCTCGAAACATAACTTTTGACACAAATGTTATCAATGGAACAACATGACAATTCAATGGATAAGAAGAAGATCAAGACAGTTTCTTAGTAAGATTGAAGGACGCAAAGTTAGAAGAGGTAAAATACAAAGAAGAAAAATGTATTTTACTAGATCTTTTACTTGTTATACAGGGTGTTTCTTTTATCATTTTTATATTCTAAATCGTAACATTGAAACGAAAACTCAGGTTGATGATTTAGTGGTACGCTGCAGGTTTCGTATCAAATAAAGTTTTCTTCTCCGATTTTTTAAATAAAGTTTAATTTGGAAAAAAGAAAACTGGAATTTTCCATTTTCACTATTTATATCGATAATTATTACAGTAAGACCCTCTAGATTTTTTAGAGCACAGTAATGTTCCTATAAATCAAAACTGGACAAACTACTTTAGAAAAAAAAAATGTTTATTTACCTACTTAGTAGTTAAACTGCTCCTACATCTGTATTTGTAAAGTGAGAAAGTTGGGATAACCCAAGGCACTTAGGCCCATTGTGCATCCTTCTTGGTTGATAGGCACCTCCTAGCTCGTGAGCCAACCTGCATATTTGATGTAGGTAACAACGTCGCCAAGAGGTTCTTCTCGTATATCGGCTGATGTTAGCTAATTCTCGCCGAACACAAATCTTTTAATAAATGAGAGAGTCGGGCAATCGTATAGGATTTACTCGATGTCTCATCTTCTTATTGGCACCCCCTGCAGAGTGTGGATTCTAATAGCCCAATGCAATGAAGATGCTTCCAAACTTGGCAATGACCAGTCAGAATACATGCGACCAGGCACAGATTCTGTCTAGTCATAGTCAAGTATTTGTTTGCTGTAGTGTTGTCAGGATAACTCTGACTCCCTAGCAAATCTGCAGCTTCTCATTTTATCTCATCTTCTCTTGAATTTTACAAGGGAATGTTCTTTAATTAGGTTTTTACACTACCGATGTTGTCAATCCAATAGAAGGGTTAGGTCCAAAAAGTATTTGATTGGCTGTCTTCTTGGCTAGTGAATCAGCAAGACACCTTTCGATGTGGCGTAATCTTTGATTCATCTTAAGGTGACCACATTGCTGATGGATACTTCGGCTTCGACCGAAGCTTCGTGACATTTAAGTACTAATCCTGAGTAAATTCGTGGTCTGTCCAGGGTGAATAGTGTTTATCTGCTATCTGTATAGATGAGCATGTTTCTTCCAGTGATATTGTTTCTGGTAACTTCTTTTGCTGCTGTGAGAATCCCTTTGAGCTTGGTTTGAACTAAACTATTGTTCACAGCCCATTTTAAGATTAGGTTTGATGATCTGGATCCTAAGCCTTGTTTTGTTTTAGAACCGCGGTGCAGATATGAATCATACCTGGAACTTTTGGCTATCCTATTTGTTCTGTTATAACTTTATATGGCTTATGGAAGATATACATATATTCGCTTAAAACAATGAAAGCGTATTGAGCACCTCCTGCCAAAAGCATAAACCATACGAAACTCGTTTTCGTCTCGTTTCGTATGCCGGTTAATTTTCGTGTATTAATAATCATTACATAAGAGTTGCATACGTTATTTTTTCTACACCCGATAAATAATCAAGACCTATAAATAATATATTTATATTTGTATTGAACACAATAACAATAATTACTCGTATTTCTATAAAAAATTCTACAAAATTGTAATTAATGGTATTACCTCGGGTATTGCTATTACCATAGATTTTTGGGGTAAAATATTTTGTACTGCATATTCTGCTTTCTCCGATATGTGTGGAGGAGTCGATGATAAATCTTCTATATCGCTGATATCAGATATTTTGACACTATTATTATCGAAGTTTAGCCATCTACGAAAATTTAATACGTACTGATTTTGACAACTAAAACAATTACATAGGAACCTAGGACAAACGTCAAATGCACAGCATGCTTGATTGAAAAATTATGGGTTTCTATTGATTAAAAATCTGTATCATAATGGGTATCATTATGAAACGGATTATGGGCATATAAGTGCATTATTATAATACGGGGTGTAGAAAAATATATTTGTCATATTACAAAACATTAACTTCCGAAAATGTACTCATATTTATGTCTAATCAAAAGTATTTTTCAGTTTCAGCTTCTAGATGGAGAGACTACAGAAACAGACTCTTCAGGGAAATGTTCAGTTACCTATACTTCTTCATCACCATCAACATTTACGAAAACGAAAAATCAATGCGCCTCAGGAGATTTTGATTATATCAACAACCCCAACCACATTTTAGGAGTCAAAATCGACTCTACACGAACTGTAGATTATGAACTAGCTTCCAATCCATTTATCATCAAATCGATAATTTTAAAAGAGAGTCACTCTGTTTTTTTGACAGCTAGAGAAGAAATGGGTAATCATATAGAGGCTCAAGAAACTTTGACTTTTATAGATAGCAAAAAAGCAAACACGGTAGAAGGAACCGATCTTGAAAAAGCAATTGAAAATATTAGTAATAAATTAGGTGTTAAATTCAATCGTGAAACTTTATTAACCGAAATAGAACCTATTCAAACTGAAGATGAAATTAGTTTTAGTAAGAAAGTTGAAAGAATGAGAAGTCAATTGAAAATTGAACATATGGGATCAACTAAACAAGCTAAAGTATTCACTGAACTGGTAAATTCAGCAAGAAATGCTCCGAAGGAAGATATATTAAAGACATTAACAACGAAGAAAAATAAACCAATTTTGTAAGTCAAAACCAATTATATTTTACAATTTTAAAAAAATAGTCTATCTAATAATATGGCGTGATCGACAACAATGTATCTAAATTATCCAAGCTTACAATTCTTCTTTAAATGACAGTTTGGATTTAATTCAAACGCATGTAGTTATTGCACTAAATCGTTTTACATAAGATACGTGTTATTAAAATTGGACTGGACAGGGCTTATGATGGCTTTTAAGCAGGGTCTAATTAAATTCGTGAATTTAGAATCGCAAGTTTTAAATGACTACCTAAAATTTGTTTCAATAAATAATCAATATCCGATCCCAAATTAGTCTGATTTATTTATTGCGCAAACGTGACTTCTACACTATTTGTTAACCGATCTCTGGCTGAATTGTTGTTTGAAAGTATTTCTGACTGTCAAGTCGTGCTTGAAACATTGGACTTGCAATCAGGTTTTTTTTTTAAGTTTATTAAAACAATCAAAGTAAAACTGCTCATAAGTCATGTTCGCATTTGGCTACTTATTGGAAAAACTGAATAGGTTTGATTCCGTAGCATTTTTGGATAGTCAGGAGTATGCGCATCTGAAAAAAAACTATGCAGATTGTAATGAATGGCAGGTTTGCTGGCTATCATAAACATCTGCCGTAATATATCTAATAATTAGTAATTCATTTAGAAGTAACGAATCGACTTGCGCGCCATTTTCATTCTGTAATGTGGACAAAAATCGAAGTACGCACCGCGCAGAATCCTGACGATAATTGATGGTTTCTGATCATTATTGGCACAAATCACAGAGCCTAGGACAGTGTTGCCAGAATATATTTTTGTAATGTACCAGATTTATCTAAAAAATGTACCAGATTTCATAAAAATGTACTAGATTCTATAAAATTACCAGATTTTTCTAATTATGAAGTATGGTCATTAAAGAGCAAAAAAGGATTATAGATAACACGAACACAACAATTTGAAACAATATTTTATCTCTAGATAAATTTCTAACAATATTCTATCTCTCGAGCAATTTATAACAACTTTTTTTTATCCCTCGAGCAATGTTTGTACAATATTTTTTGTACAATTTTTAACAGCCTTTTTTACCTTTCAAGCAATTTTTGAACAATATTTGATCTCTCGTGCAATTTTTGAGCAAAATTTTAACAATTTCTAACACTATTTCATCTCTCGAGCAATTTTTAAAAAAGGTTTTAATACTTTTTGATATTATTTTATCTCTCGAACAGTTTTTAAATCTTTTTTATCTCTTGGGCTATTTTTAAACAATATTTTATCTCTCAATAAATTTCTAACAGTATTCCATCTCTCGAGCAATTTTTAACACCTTTATTTTATCCCTCGAGCAATGTTTGTACAATTTTTAACACTATTTAAACACTCGAGCAATTTTTAAAAGCCTTTTTTACCTTTCAAGGTATTTTTGAACAATATTTGATGTCTCGTGCAATTTTTGAGCAACACTTTAACAATTTCTAATACTATTTTATCTCTCGAGCAATTTTTGAAAAAGAATTTAATACCTTTTGATATTATTTTATCTCTCGAACAGTTTTTAAATCTTTTTTATCTCTTAAGCTATTTTTAAACAATATTTTATCTTTTGAATAAATTTCTAATAGTATTTTATCTCTCGAGCAATTTTTAACAACTTTTTTTCCCTCGTGCAATGTTTGTACAATTTTTAACACTATTTAATCACTTGAACAATTTTTAAAAGCCTTCTTTTACCTTTCAAACTTTTTTTTCCCTTTCAAGCCATTTTTGAACAATATTTGATGTCTCGTGCAAATTTTGAGCAACATTTTAACAATTTCTAACAATATTTTATCTCTTGAACAATTTTTGAAAAAGATTATAATACCTTTTGATATTATTTTATCTCTCGAATAGTTTTTAATTTTTTTTTTATCTCTTGAGCTATTTTTAAACAATATTTTATCTCTCAATAAATTTCTAACAGTATTCTATCTCTCAAGCAATTTTTACCAACTTTTTTTTATCCGTCGAGCAATGTTTGTACAATTTTTAACACTATTTAATCACTCGAGCAATTTTTAACAGCTTTTTTACCTTTCAAGCTATTTCTGAACAATATTTGATCTCTCGTGCAATTTTTGAGCAAAATTTTAATAATTTCTAACACTATTTTATCTCTCGAGCAATTTTTATTAACATTTTTTATCTTTTTAACAATTTTTAAACAATGTTTTATCTCTCGAGAAATGTTTAAGAGTATTTTTTAATTCTCGAGTAATTTTTGAATAAGATTTTAATAACTTATAATACTATTTTATCTCTCGAACTATTTTATCTCTCGAGCAGTTTTTAAACCATTTTTTATCTCTTGAGCTATATTTGAACAATATTTTATCTTTCGATAAATTTATAACATTATTCTATCTCTCGAGCAATTTTTAACAACTTTTTTATCTCTTTAGCAAACTGCACAATATTTTAACTCTAGACAAATTTATAAAAATATTTTAACTCTCGATAAATTTTTAACATTGTTTTATAGGGGTGGGTTGGCTCAGTGGTTAGAGCCATGAATTTGAGATCGGAAGGTCTCAGGATCGAATCCCACCGTTGGCCGGGATTTTTTCATTTAATTTAATTATTTAAAATTAATTCTGATGCCTTGGTAGGATTCCCCACTCGACCATTCACTGTTGGGTTCCAATTAACAGTGCTGTTCCTAAAGTGGCGCTAGGAAACAGTAACAAAGCCCGCACAGAACACGAGGCTAATGGCCGTAGTAGTCGACGCCGATGACAATGTGTACAATGTTTTATCTCTCAACAAATTTTTCAATAGTATTTTATCCCTCGAGCAATTTTTGAACAAGGCTTTAACATTTTGTAATACTATTTTACCTCGAGCAATTTTTGAACACGATTTTAACAATTTATAATACTATTTAATCTCTCAAAAAATTATTAAATATTTTCATCTCTCATTAAATTTCTAATAGTATATTTATCCCTAGAGAAATTTTTGAACAATACTTTACCCTTTAAGCAATTTCTAATACTATTTTATACTTCGGCCAATTTTTTACCTCTCAAGCCATTTTTGAATAATATTTGATCTCTCGTGCAATTTTTAAACAATGTTTTATCTCTCGAGAAATGTCTACTATTTTATCTCTGAAGTAATTTTTAACAACTATTTTGATTTCTCTTGCAATTTTCGACCAATATATTTTACACTTCAAATAAATGGAAACATACCTACGCTGAAAAAGTACTAGATTTTGTTTAGAGTGTACTAGAGTACCATATTCTCAGAGAATGTACTAGATCTAGTACAATTGTACTAGACTGGCAACACTGGCCTAGGATAATGCAATGGCACAACCCCATGAGAAAAGTATGTAATCGCAATCCAAAGTTTCACGAAAAGCAGGATAATTAGATTTTTAAAATTTAGAATAGTGAGTAGAAAGAGTGGAAGTATAATTAGCTTTTTATCCTCGAACTTCATCAAGCTCGTCCAAACTTCAAATCTGATAATTATTCTCTCCATGGCAACATTGACTGCTTTACTTGTGGTATCTCAATATTATTACATCATGACTCATATCTCTGTCTTTGTCGGTCATGGCCTACTTTAGAAACATTTTTTTATAGATCACTCATCTCATTAATTATTATGTATGATATTATATTAATGTTTAAATTTTAGAACTCAACTATACGACATTTTGGGCTACGTGGGAACATTAGACTCTCACACAACAGTCATGAAAAATCTTCATTTCGACAAAGAAGAACAAATTGATTTCAGTGAAAGATACCTTTGGGCATTATCGTTCTCTTCAAATCCCAATCTCGATGTGATAAAAGATCTTCACAATAAATTTAACAAAATCAATAGCATACCTGAAAAAGTCAAAGAAACTTTGATTTTGACCCTGGCGTCAATGACGTACAGATTAAGCAAGACTGCTCAAGCCAAATATAATGTGAGTATCAAATATTTATAAATTTTCTAGTGATTTGTTTGATATATAAAAGACAGTGTTCGTTATTTTATTAAATAGCCATTTTTCTACGATCACTATGCAAAATAGTCTTCTGCGCTTCAAAATACAACCGCAAAGTTGACGTTTCCCGCGAACTGACATTAAGTGACAGCTTTGTCCCTCGCCTAATTTAAATTAGATATATATTTATTTTTAATAAATGATTTTCTAGTTATTTCTACGTAGTTTTATGTTTTTTGTTTTATTATCCAAGTTAACATTGACTTTGGATGTCAACTCCGTTTTTCATGATTAACGTATATATAGGCAATACATTATACACTACTTACGTCAAATTTTCAGTTTTTATATCTATTATAATGTTATTGTAGAAAAATCTTGTGTATATTTTTGGCGAAAAGTTCGTTGCCGCTTTAGACAGATTGCCGCGTTGCGCGAACGGAGCGCAAAGTATCAATTTTCGCCCTTAATACACAAATATCTATTGTGATTGAGAGCGAAAAGGGGTCATTTGCCGCTCCAGACAGCACGCGCAAAGCTTAGCGGAACGCGGGAAAAATAGTGTTTACATCGGCTCTACTTTAGTCTATTTCTATGGGAAAGACTAATCAATAGTATAGCGTCATCATTATTAAAGAGTCGTCATTATCAATGAATCGTCAATGGCAAAGAGTCGTCAATAGTAAAAGTCGTTATTAGTGAAGGGCCGGCAATAGTAAAGTGCGGACAAAGTCACTGCCAGAGTGTAAATATAACGGAGGGACTTTAAAACAGTGGCGCAAAGATTTCAAATTCGCAGGTTAACGAAGTTAACTTATCGTTCTGATCAATATGAATGCTTGAAAACAGATTGTTAACATCTCGGGTAAATTGTTTAAAATTAGTTCAATAATCAACAATTCAAAATTTGGTAATCTCTGACGCCGCTATAGGTAATCTTAACTATTGAAATGGATCCTAATACAGAGTATCAATAGCTTTGTATTTGTATTCATCATGATTCCTGAATATTTATTATACCGGATGCAATTTTTTTTATCTTTAGATTCATCGTGATGTAGAAGAAACAATAATCAACAACTTAGATTATGCCAAAAATGAAGATAAGTATAAGTTCTTCAGAGCGTTGAGAAATCTTAAATCTGAATCAACGGTACCAGTCCTCCTAGAATACATAAAAAAAGGTACACAAAAAGAGGGAGTACTAGCTTGGAGAGCTATTAAAGACCTTGATTCCAGCTCTACAAATAAAGATATACTCACTGCAGCTGAGAAGACATTTTTCCAATTAGACAGGCGGCATGACACGAGTTCTAGAACCATTGCTGCTGATATTATTTTGCAATCTTCTCTAAACAATGAACTACTAACAAAATTATTAAACTTTTTGACATCTAATGATCCCGCTTATGAAATAAAACAATACCTCTTTCAACGGATCAAAATGTTGGCAGAGTCTGATTTAACAGTCAAAAATAACGTAGAACAAATCATCAAAAGCAATAAACACTTAAATAATTATTCTGGGACCAATCCACGAGGATTATCTATCTCTCTTACTAGAAGATTCCTCAACCATCCTTCCAGTAATGGCAGCTTAGTGACTGTGCAGGAAATGAAGTCTGGTGTTATTAAAAGAGGAACTATCGATGTGGTTATTGAAAAAGAAGAATTTTCGAATGAATTATTTAGTGTAAGTTTATTTTTTGTTTGTAGATATCATTTGACATTACTATTATTAATTTCTTTAGTTTTTGTACTGGCTGCTAACTCATAGAATCTACTAAAATTAAACTTATTTTTCACTTTTCTGGAAGCACCCTACCTAATGTCAATTTAAACCATTAATTTATATTGTCTTTGCATTTCTGTCATAACAATTTGTATTCAGGTATCTTAAGAAACAGCTTCGAATATTTTCATCCTATTTTTCTTTAGTGTTTATCATCTTTTATAATCTAGAATCCTAAAATATATCCTTTTCAACTTAATTCAAAACTAATTATATCTACGGTCACCATTTTTCTCCTCTACTCCATAAACTTCCATTTTTCTATTTCAATTTTATATTATAGTATTTTATTCATATTTTACTAATGTCAAACCTTTACAGAATATTATTTTTTAGCTTGGTATATTTTCTGGAGGTCTCCACACCTTCATGTCTAGCGATAATGGAGGAAATGAAGAAGCAGATGAAGAAACTGCTACGGCGGGTATAGAACTTACAGTTCTTGGCACACAAATCAGACCGTTTGTCTTCTTCAGCGGTCAAGGTGAACTTATGGGTCACGTTTGGTCAGGTACGGCTTCAGAAAGAACGCCCGCGTATCAGGTAATGCAAATATTCAATTTACAAGCCTTTTCGATGTAAATTACTCACAATAAGGGAGTTAGAGATTTTGTAATACTAATAGCGATTTTTGATTTAAGGTTTTGGCATTATTACATGATCATTTGGAGTATATTAGATTGGGTTCTGGATTTATAACAAATATCAATATTAAAGGAGCCACATCTATGGATCTGTCGGGACAAATAGAAATATCTTTGTGGAACAGAAATGCTGAATCTCTAGTTCAAAAAGCGTAAGTAACCATTAAATCATATTGAATACAGAAACGCATTGTTATCAAGCAATGCTACATAAGTGAATCGGCCATTTGAGAAACAGCACATGTCCGTTGTAGATCAAAAATAAGAAAAAGTGAAAATCTCAAAACGTGGTAAAAAAAATATTTTTGTGTACTTAACGTTTAAAACTTGCCCTATGTCGGATATAATACAATAATTATTTAAGCAAAAAAATAAATGGGTAACAAATCATGGTTAATTAAAAATGAGTGATATGTGATGTTTCTGAAATGAACATAAAAACTTAGTAAAAAGGGATATAGTTTTATTATTATATATTCTAAAATTCATCAAAAAAGATTAAAAAATAAAAAAATATTGATTGTTCTCATCGTTTTCATTTTCAGTTGTCGGTAAAATTAATATTTAGGCATAAAAGTCTGGTGCATATTGGGAACGCCTTTCTTAAAAAAATTTCTTAATTTGGTATTAAATAAATCGTACATAATTTTCACATTAATTGTTTCATTGAGATATTATTTTTCTGTGCTACTATAGTTATTTTTGTAGGAAAGCTCCTGAAATGGTCCTCAATCTGACCAACTATATTTCCTAGTTGTATTTCCAGAAATACATTTGTCTTTGAAGATTAACTTAGTTAAACGTCGAAGTCTTGCTATTGTAATTGCGTGAATATTGATAAAATCCTTCTAGCAAATCGTAATTCATCCAGAATAGGATGTTATAAGCTATTTAAATAAGTGAGATTTCAGTTTAGATCATTCCGAATTTCTTGGCCTCTTAACTTTGACGTTATTGCAAGCCATCAATGCTTGTAAATAGGCATCCTGCTCATTTTTGGTTGTCAGGAGTCAAAATCTTTAAGACATTTCTTCTGTCACCCTCAGTACATCGGTTATTACACTTTAACTTACACTACTTAAAAAAAACTAACATTACCCCGTTTTTCGCGGAAATTACACCTTTGTAATTCTTCACCATTTATTCTAACATTTTTCATTATTTTGCACGTATACATATAACTTTCTGTTTCCTTTTTTATTTATTAAATTAGTCGGAACACTATCAGAATCACTTTCGGCAGTTAATGCCATGGTTTTTAAATAATTTACCCCAGTACACTGCGTTTAGAAAGAGCACATGTCCACTGACTTGTGTTGTTTCTAAATGCAATCAGATATTAAGTGATGCATAAGTCATACGAATGTACATATATTGGGCAAGTGATGTTACTGCGTGGATAGATGTGTTTATCTTTAAATATTGTATTTTTGGTATAAAAACAAAATGGCCAAAAATGAAATGTGACATGTGTCGTTTCTCAAATGACCGATTCAAGAATAATTATACTATTTTGCTTCTACAATTACCTGTGTGAATGATTCAGGTATTCTTAATACCCTCTGTAAATACTTACTGTTTTACCGATCATAGTGAATACTACCTTTTCGACCTCTACACCTCTGACTGAGGAGGTAATGAGTAATGAGAAAATGAGAAATAATGTTTCATAAATGTCGTGGTTAATGCAAGTAGAAGTGAATGTGTTAAAGTATTTTTACGATAAGAACGCAGTGATGTCACATGATAAAAAACCTGCGGCGTCGTCAGGTAGATTTTTTTTCCTTACTTGAATATAAGTGCATCTAATGTGCTATCAACTTTAAAGTTGTATTATATATAAAAAAGAATTGCTAGTCTACAGGACAATAAAATCTTGACTACAAAGCATTTTCAATAGTAAGAAAAATATTTTAAGATTCAAATAAAAATTAATAGTTATGTAGTTTTGTAATTTTTATTGTAATCTACGGAATCATTCTAATATAAAAATATTCGAAAAAGACAATTTTTTAATAATATTGTTACACTGGTTTTTGGTATCACAATTTATTTCAATTCAACTTTACAATAACTCAATTCAACTTTAACAATAACGATACAACTGATAACATTAACATGTAAACGTCTATCATAAAACTGAAACTCCGACATCAGGTCGTCGACTTATATAGCTTGCTTGACCTTCTCCAATCTTCTCGAACTGTCGTCTAGAATATTCTTGACGGGTAATGACATTTCTGGACATTTCTGGAATATTCTATATTCTTTTACTTGTACTTTTACTTATAACGACCGCAGCACACTGTAGAAAGGTAACATTGCACTTCTTTTTCTATCTGTACGTTTCCTATAATAGCCGCAGGCTACTGCAGGGTGCTGCATAACATTACTCTCTCCTCTCTAGTTATTCGCCCCGAATAACTTGATTACTGGAACCTAGTTGGAACTAATGGGGAGGATCTGGGCCATAGTATGGATACATCTTCCCAATGTGAACTACGTTGAATTTACTTCCCGCTGACAGTTGAATGCGGTAGATCAGGTCGTTGATTTTCCTTAAGGACGGAATAGGGGCCTTCTCAGTTCAGTTGCGATTTCTGACGAAGTCCTCCTCGCTGCTTGGGATTGCACAGCCATACCTTGTCGCCCCTCTCAAAATGTGTATCTGTGGCACGCCTGTCGATTCTATAGCTTCTATGCTTTATCGGTGTGCGCTTTCAGTCGTTCGCGAGCGAATCCATAGACCCTTGTCCTGCCCCTGCATACATCACATTTTTTACACCAATCCGCTACATCCCGTCGGCAATTGACCCAACTCGTGCCAGTGTCCTTTTAGTATCAAAGTGTCCTCCTGAACGGCTGCTATGAAGCTCCTCCAATACTTTTCTCACCTGTGACCTCGGCAGTATCACTTGGCGGACTACATGTACTCCATCGGGGCTGTCCCACTTCCGGTGCAATAGGCCATCGTGAAGATACAGGGAATCCCACTGGGTCCAGTAGCCTTTTATAGTTCTACTGTATTTGGCTATCTCTTGCCAAGTAGGTGTGACTTTATTTTTGAGCCATTCTCGGACAACCTTTAAGTCATTGTCTTTCTTCTGTCCCTGTCTCAGACTTTCAAGGGTGATTTCTTCTTCGTCGCCCTCTGGCTTGATAGTGGTTGCCCGAAGAGTAACTTTATCAACCGGTTCTTCTCGTTCTTCGAGCCGTTTACCATACCAGCATTGTTCCTCTAAACGGGGTTGCCCGAAGAAAATGTCTGCGTTGCTATGGAGACCCCTTCGATGCTCTACTTTCTTGTTATTATTAGTTGACATTGTAATTGTGTTTTCGTTGGAGAAATGGAATGGGAACAAGATAAAGTCATAGCCTTTATTGAGACATACAAACAAATTTATGGGATTTTAAAAACAAAATCTGTAAGAGCAGAAACTTGAGGCACGATACCCTTATGGAAATTCACTTTCCGACATTTGAAAAAAATTTCTAAAACCACCATTACACCTATATTCAAGGCTCAATATGTTGACGTCATCTTTTTTTTAATCTTCTATCAAATTACTAGCGCTGTATCTAGTTCTACCTTGAAGACTTGGTCGAACCCAAAATCTTCTTTTGCGTGCAAGTTTTCTTTTTTTAGTGGCGATAATAATCTATGCGGCACAAGCAACTATAATGTCATCTTCGTCAGACATGTTAATTTCGACTGATCGACAAACATTTCTGTCAACTCTGGTGTGGACAGATGCAGTTTTGTAGACTTGTTGATCAACAAATGTCGATCGGCAGTGTTGATTCGGTGAGGACGCAACTTTAGATAATTATTAGGCATTCCAAACAAAATGGCTTATAGTTTTGACAGGTTATGATATTGCAAAATTAGGGCAACCCTGTAGGTTTGGTGATTTGACAAGGTCAATGAAATAGTTACATAGATTGTTCATCCATATTTTTCACAATAAACATATATAAGCTTATGCCTTAAAGTAAAAATGTAGGTAATTATTTTTTTACTATATTCAAAGGCTAAATATTGGTTTGTAAACACATTTTTGCAAAATAGATTCTGATTAATCAGCACTTGCGAGGCAATATGGCCGCTCGCAAACGACCCGCTTTGAGCAATCTATATAACTATATATGTATCATTGACCCTGTCAATGAAAATAGGCACATTCAGCGTATTACGAGTAAGGTGAAAATGATGAGAAATTTACGATTGTCCGCAACTGTTACTGCAAAACTGTTGATTTCGACTCTTTTTTGGTATGACAATTAATTTCAAAATACAATTTTGTGTAATAATAACGAATATTCTGTTAATAAATGCGAAGAAAGGACAAAGACAGAGATACGAGTCACGTCCGTGATAACTATACGAACGCCCGTCTATTATTTAAAAAAGAAAAATTATACGTTCTGACATACGTGATTTTTTCCATGGGCTTCTTTAGAAGAATTTTTTGTAATCACTTCATATATTAACTAAATTTAAAAATTTATATAAGAGCGCAAAAAGTGACAGTTGAACATCACGTTTACTACGTTCTTAATATGGTGGATGAATCTCTTTATAAATGAAGTATCTATTCTTTCTATTCTTTGAACATACATCCTAATATTGTTTATATTTCAGAGCTGGAATAGTAGTTACCGGATCAAGCACCATCGATACTATGTTTGTGAAATCCCTAGTAGAATTTAGTAGTTCTATAGAACCTAAATTAAATCTACATTCTGATATCGACTTTTCTTCGAACCTACATCTTTGTATGAGACTTACTCAACCCGATGCTGTCTTTAGGTAATGTTTTCTTATACAGTCACAGTCCTTTTTCCTATATGATTTCTACACTCATCTGTTTTTTAATCAAAATACAATTTTTCTAGATAATTATTGATAAAGAAATACGATTTTGCTGGGTTGCCTATCAAAATATGGCCGCAAGTATTTTTAAAGGGTAATTTTCCTATTTTAAGGTATATTTGTGTTATTTATGATTATAGAAGAAACAGCAACAGCGAGTAATCCAACATAAGCCTGTTAAAAACAATTTAATAGACAAATCTAGACGGTATCTGGTAAAAAAGAAGAAATAGATAACAATCAAGATTCATCCATTACCAGTACTCTACACCAAATACTGGAAAAGCTGAAAATGGATGAACGAATTACTAGGTTAGAATATAGTAGCAAAGGATCTATACCTAAGAGAATGAGTAATCTTAATCTTAATATATATATAAAATGCTAGCGTAGAATATGTGTGTGACCGGTTTTCTTTATCACCACCAACTCCAACAACATCACCATTGGGGTGGTAAATACCCCTTGGGTCCTAGAAGGAATTAAGGGAGTTTGGGCGCGGTGGGTGGAAATGGGTGGTTGTGGGAGGCAAAAATGTGATAAGATATATATCTGTCCATTTCTAACTCATTAGAACTTCGGGAAAGTTCTGAAAATTTCTAGAATGATCTAGAAAGTTCCGAAATTAATATTATCCGTTATTATCATTCTGGAACGTTCCAGAAAATTCTAAAAATTTCTGGAATGATCTAGAAAGTTCCGAAATTAATAATATTGGTTATTATCATTCTGAAACGATCCAGAAAATTCTAAAAATTTCTGGAATGATCTAGAAAGTTCCGAAATTAATAATATCGGTTATTATTATTATTCTGAAACGATCCAGAAAATTCTAAAAATTTCTGGAATGATCTAGAAAGTTCAAAAATGTGTAAAATCGGTTATTATCATTCTGGAACGTTCCAGAAAATTCTAAAAATTTCTGGAATGATCTAGAAAGTTCCGAAATTAATAATATTGGTTATTATCATTCTGAAACGATCCAGAAAATTTTAAAAATTTCTGGAATGATCTAGAAAGTTCCGAAATTAATAATATCGGTTATTATTATTCTGAAACGATCCAGAAAATTCTAAAAATTTCTGGAATGATCTAGAAAGTTCCGAAATTAATAATATCGGTTATTATTATTCTGAAACGATCCAGAAAATTCTAAAAACTTCTCGAATGATCTAGAAAGTTCCGAAATTAATAATATCTGTTATTATCATTCTGAAAGGATCCAGAAAATTCTAAAAATTTCTGGAATGATCTAGAAAGTTCAAAAATAATATTGGTTATTATCATTCTGAAACGATCCAGAAAATTCTAAAAATTTCTGGAATGTTCTAGAAAATTCAAAAATGTTTAAAATCGGTTATTATCATTTTGGAACGTTCCAGAAAATTTCAAAAATTTCTGGAATGATCTAGAAAGTTCCGGAATTAATAATATTGGTTATTATCATTCTGAAACGTTTCAGAAAATTCTAAAAATTTCTGGAATGATCTAGAAAGTTCCGAAATTAATAATATCGGTTATTATTATTCTGAAACGATTCAGAAAATTCTAAAAATTTCTCGAATGATCTAGAAAGTTCCGAAATTAATAATATCGGTTATTATCATTCTGAAAGGATCCAGAAAATTCTAAAAATTTCTGGAATGATCTAGAAAGTTCAAAAATGTGTAAAATCGGTTATTATCATTCTGGAACGTTCCAGAAAGTTTATAAAAATTCTATAATGATCGAGAAAGGTCCGAAATGTGTATGAGTATTATGATAGTCGATCTAAAAGAGCTAAATGTAAGTGATGTGCATCTAAATATTCTAGAGTGTTCCAATACTAGAAATTTCTATATGTACTGGTATATAAACCCGAATTCAGTGGCTTTTCGTTAGTTCAATCGTGTCTGCAGTCGAGTGAAGATCAGTGGGAATAGAGGACTTCTATACAAGTGAAGTGCAACCAACTTGACAAATTTTTTTTGACACTAATGACATAAGAAATCGGGTCACATAAAGAGGCTGTTTTTTTGTAAAATTTTTGGTTTTTCTTATCTACTTTTATGCCGTTTAGATACCATGTTGTACCCGTAACGTAAAAAAGACTTTTTATTTTAGGGTATTTTACATTTAAAGGTTGAAAACATTTGTCAATATTAGCTGTCGATAATGTCAAAACATAAGCGTAGCATTGCATTTTATTTTTTGTTGTTAATAGTCTATTTGTGTTTCTCCTGCTTTCTTGAAACATTTTTTGTCATTTGGTTTTACTTATTTATGTCGATTGCAAAATGCTGCTGCAACGAATACAAGTTCTATACAATATACAACCAACATACAATACTAGTTACGTTGTGCCCATCTATGGTTACGCCTGTGTTCTATCATCAACATAATTGACAGCTGACAATGACAAAATGTTTCAACCTTTAAATGTAAAATACCCTAAAATAAAAAGTCCTTTTCACGTTACGGGTACAACAAGGTATGCAAATAACATGAAAGTAGATAGGAAAAACCAAAAAGGAAAATAAAAAACAGCCTCTTTATGTGACCCGATTTCTTATGTCATTAGTGTCAATTTTATTTTGTCAAGTTGGTTGCACTTCCCTTGTATAGAAGTCCTCTATTAAAAGTGACCAGTGCTTAAAACGATTCACGTGATTTTGACAAGTAAAACAGAACAAACTATTCGAAGATTCTAGAGTGTTCCAATACTTGAAATGTTCATGTTCGATTATTTATAAACCAAAATTTAGTGACTTTGTTAGTGTTATCATCGTAACAAGCAAGAGATCGATTTTGTGTAATTTTATTACATTACATATACACAATGCCAAAACGTAAAAAAGTATTTACAAAACCTAAAGTGAGAGCAAAAAAAATGAAAGAAGCACGTCAAAATGAAACAGAAGAACAAAGGGAAAATCGACGTTCGAATAATTGTGAACGTATTAAGAAACTCAGAAAAAATCAAACCGATCAAACTAGATCACGAGGAAGTTTGGAACTTCAGGCATTTCATTATGATTGTAAAAATAAATATAGTGAACATCCGAATGTAATCATTGTAAAAATGGATGCGATATGCAAGTATTGTAATGCACGCAAATTTCAAGGAAAAACTGCTGGTATGTGTTGCTCAAAAGGCAAAGTAAATTTACCACCACTGAATATACCGCCATCAGAATTACTCGCATATATGAACGGAGAAACACCAGATTCCAATCATTTTCTACAAAATATACGACGATATAACTGTTGTTTTCAAATGACTTCATTTGGAGCGACTTTACATTAAAAATGTGTCTTCATGTATTTTTTACATTATTAAACATGCGGTGTATATTTTAACCCGTGCAACGCCGGGTTTGGCAGCTAGTAGCCTAATAATAATGGAATGGAATGCTAATGGACTGCTGCAGTACCAACAAGAATTGCAAGCGATCCTAGATATAGAAAACATACACATATATTTAATTTCAGAGACTCGCTTTACCAATGAGTCCTTTATTAAATTTAAGGGATATAAGGTTTATATACCATTCATCCCCGAAATGCAGCAAGAGGGGGTAGCGCAGTAATAATTAGAGAAGCAATTAAGCATCATCAAGAAGCGGGATACATGACTGAAGAATTTCAGGCTACTTCAGTAATGATAAAATCAAAAATTTCTGATGTTATGGTCACTTCTGTATATTGTCCTCCAAGACATAACGTAAAAAAAGAACAACACCTAGATTTTCTTAATAGTTAAGAACCTAGATTTATCATTGGAGGAGACTTTAATGCAAAACACACCCATTGGGGCTCCAGACTAACGAGAACTAAAGGTAAAAACCTAAAAGAAGCAATGACACAGTTAAAATGTGAGTCGCATTCAACTGGCAAACCAACTTGTTGGCCCACAGATAGAAACAAAATACCCGACCTAATAGACTTTTTTGTTGTACGAAATATTTCAGCAAACTACATCCAAGTTGATGAGGTATGGGACATGAATTCAGATCATTTGCCCATTCTTCTCACTCTTAGTGACACCATTATCCAAAAGGAAAGCGCTCCTAGACTAATAAATAGGAGAACAGACTGGCAAAGCTTCAGACTGGACCTTGATAATAAAATCAATCTTTCAGTTCCATTAAGAACAAAAGCACAGCTAGATGAAGAAGTAGAACTACTTGTGTCCAACATACAACAAGCAGCATGGGATAATACGCCACCTATTATGCAGCGAACAAATGGAAATAACTATCCTAAAGAAATAAGGGATCTAATCTCTGCAGGAAGAAAACTAAGGAGGACATGGCATCAAACCAGAGCTCCATCAGATAAAACCAAACTTAAAGCCACCCAGCAGTTAAAAAGAGATAAAACGAATCAAAAATGAATCTATTTGTGAGTAAAAACGAATCAAAAATGAATCTATTTGTGAGTACCTTAGTGAGTTGACAACCGATAAATCCACTGATAATTCTCTATGCAAAGCCACAAAGCGATTTAAAAGACCCACTGTGCAGAATTCTCCAATCAGGAATACAGATGGTAGCTGGGCTAGAAATACAAAAAGTTAATAGATTCGCAGAACACTTAGAAAACACCTTCAAACCAAATAAAGGAGAAGAATTACCGAACTAGGCTGACAAGAAGACTCAAGAGAGTGAAACCTTTTGAGTTAGCCAAGTGATTGTGCGGTTTAGTGTTACACGTTAGTTTAGTGTAATTAAGTTATCAGACCCTAAGGTATACTAGCGAGTAGAACTTTAGTTTTTAAGATTGCAACCCTAGTTAAGTTAGGTTATAACAAAATTTTTTATTGATCAACTCTTGATCAGATTGTAATATCAATAAACGCCCCTTTTGGAAAATAGAAGAAATTTCTTTCACAAGAGTTGTTTGTTGGTTTATAGATGATTTCTTTAATGGACTGTGATGGAGAAATTTGAGGATAAGTGCAAAATTTAATTGTTTTGAAGATAAAATTTAATTCATTTCAAAGAGAGATATGTGAGGAATTAAAAAAATTGGTTTGCCTTTTCTCCATTGGGGTAGTATTATCAGGAGACGCGATCACGTGGGTCAAAAGCAGCATCAGTCCGCCATATTGATGCGACACTTGCCTCAAACAGACGTCGCATTGTTGTGATTTCATTCATGTGATTTGTATGATCAATTTTTCGTGTTTTTATTTCCTTTTTGTGTGATATTTAAATAATATTGTGAAAGTACATAATGATTTGCATTTGATAAAAAGAAATCGACATTTCATAGTATAGTATACAAAATGATATCAATAAACAGGGTAATAATTAAAAAAATATTTTTATATTTCCTTTCTTTGAATAATTTCTAGGTGAAAACATTTTACGGTAATTGTTTCATATACTTACGATTTTCCGATATTTTATTATTGTTTAGAAATTTCATTTTATGCTGTGCAAGAAATTAATTTTTCCCATATAACCTAAAAATGGCAGATATTATATAAAACTGTTAAATATTTTAACTAACAAATAAAGCCCAAATAACGAAAATAGTTTTCTTTCAGCTTTGCCAAAGAAGAAAATTCTGATAGTGAGTTAAATGAATTAGTTAACAGGAATCATGATTATTTGCCAGACCCTCTGTCACAATTTTCCAAATACATTATTGCCCATATAGGAGGATATACTTTTCATTTTTTTTATATATATATTTTGTTTTAAATGTAAATCTGCTTTAACAAGTGACACGAGGGATTTGTATCTATTCTCTTTTATGGATAAAAATATAAAAGTAAATTACAATATCCCTTAAAAGATGTTTTGGAGATATGAATTCAATGGGAAAAAAATTTAAAAACCAATCGTATGAGCAAATATCAGCAGTATCTGTAGTCAATATAATCCATACAAAATTTGTAAATAAAAATATGTTTTTCAAATTTACTAGTTCATGATCAATCATGGATAACCATCGGGTATTTTTATTAAAAACTGTTGCAGAAAAGTACGTAAATGTGGTGCCAAACAAAAATCAAATAAAGCTGAAAGTATAAAACATCACAGTAATAAGACCGTTTTTCTTCTTCAAGAACGTGTTTTTTCTTTTAATTTGTTTCGATCTTTAAAAAATACATTGCCTATTCATATGACCCTAGTTAAAATAAAAAATGTTATTCAAAATATGACATTAAAATTCTTATAATTTTAGAGAGTAAGGGCCTGGCCAGGCAGCCATATTGTTACGACTCTATGCCACGCCTAGTGCGACGTTTTATCTCTGTGCGAAATAATGCTTATAGCGCCTCTTTATAATACTACCTCAATGCTTGTCTCATTTGACCACAACCTCTTGTGTCAACACATGACTTTATTGTAAAGTTACCAAATATATTGGGTACGGCCCATCTAATCAAAAATATAAAAAAAAAATTTACACTTCCTCATTTTAGAGAAATTATGCATATGAGATTAACATCACCATAACTCTTGTTAAAATAGTTTTTTCTATGATCATAAATAACAGAAATATACTTTAAAGTAGAAAAATAAAGTACTAGGCAAGCCGACAACACCGTATTTCTCTATTAATAATGTTATCTACCTACAGTATAAAAATTACATTTTCATCAAAAAACAGATGACTGCAGACATCATAAGGTTGAATGTCGTATTATCACATACTTTGATTACTATACGAGGCAAGAGAGAGGTCCGACACGCCCAACATAGGGCGTGGCCATTTTGAACCCTGTGACACAGTTTACAGCTAAAGAATCAGATCGCTCACTCTGCGTCGGCACTTTTGATCTCAATATTTCAGTTTATACACTGTGCAACTCGGATAATACAATATATGACAACCGCCTATAATAAAACAGCAGTCTTCTGCGTATCCTGAATTTGTATCCCTGGAGTGGATGTTATTTTGGAACTTTCAACTGGTCCGAGTGAGCTAACTGATTCTTTAGCAATAAACTGTGACTTCAAAAATAATATTCACTGACACTGACAGCAGCAAGCAAAATATCAGGTGTGTTTTAATCATCCGCTTCTGCTTCCGGAATTGTCGGTTTAGTGGTTTTAACCTGTCAGATTAAAACAAGAAAACCGACAATTCCGAAGCAGAAGCAAATGATTAAAACGCACCTATTAAAAATATTGCGCCAAGATGTAGGCAACACGTAATAAGGGTTCAAAATGGCGGAGTTTTCTATCTCCTTTTAAAAGGAACTCAGAAAGCTGCGCAGTGCGACCATTCTCCGTATAGTAAAAGAAAATCAAAGTATGTGCGTACTATAATCAAAAGGAATATAATTTGCAACAGCGCATCGGATTTGGAAAAAATAATGGTCTTTGGGTCGACGGCGAAAAAATCGAAGAGGCAGATTATTTTTGGTTGAATTGAAATAATAGAGAGTTATTGCAAGTTCACTTAAAGTCAGTTTTAGAACATAAACATCTGCGCATGCTTAGATGTCAAAATAAGAGCAGCACTAATAATGACTGACCTTAAGTGAACTTGCAATAACTCTCTTATTAAGGACAGGCACAATCTTTATTAAAGTTAGTGATCTGCGCATGCTCAGATGTCAAAATAAGAGCGGCAATAATAGTGACTGACCTTAGGTGAACTTGCAATAACTCTCTAATTGCTAAAGACCATCGACCAATAATGCTTTGTTTTGGATTTACGTAAATTTAAAAATAACAAAAACCTTCGGTACTTCAGTTTTGAGTGCAAACAAAGGCAACTTTAGTTCTTAAAAAGTTGACTGTAAGCTTTTATTTGACCCCAATTACATCAAAATAAGGAACGTGATTAATCGGGCGTTCTGCGAAGTGTACTATTTTGACGCAATTGGTATCAAAGGAGCGGTAAATCGTTGGAAAAAATGTCAACCTAGTACACAAATAGCACACAAATAGTACACAAATAGTACACAAATAGTACACAAATAGTACACAAATAGTACACAAATAGTACACAAATAGTACACAAATAGTACACAAATAGTACACAAATAGTACGAAAATAGTACGAAAATAGTACACAAATAGTACACAAATAGTACACAAATAATGGTACACAAATGGTACACAAATGGTACACAAATGGTACACAAATGGTACACAAATGGTACACAAATGGTACACAAATGGTACACAAATAGTACACAAATAGTACACAAATAGTACACAAATAGTACACAAATAGTACACAAATAGTACACAAATAGTACACAAATAGTACACAAATAGTACACAAATAGTACACAAATAGTACACAAATAGTACACAAATAGTACACAAATAGTACACAAATAGTACACAAATAGTACACAAACAGTGCACAAATAGTACACAAATAATACACAAATAGTACACAAGTAGTACACGAATAGTGTACTAGTAATATACAAATAACAAATAGTACGCAAAAGTACACAAAAGTACACAAAAGTACACAAAAGTACACAAAAGTACACAAAAGTACACAAAAGTACACAAATAGTACATAATAATACACGAATAGTCACGAATACTACACGAATAGTACACGAATAGTATACGAATAGTACACGAATAGTACACAAAATACATAAATACTGCACATAGTAGAGATTGCTTGTACACCAGTGTACCCCTAGGTATCAAATGAAAACTGACAGCCAACTCTTTAACAGTTACTAGGGTTGTTTTAGTTTGCACTCAATCCAAAAATGTAGCTTGAGGTTTGTTATTATTTTGACGTCTGTGTAAAACCAGAACAAACTATGGTTGGTTTCTAGTGTTTAGTAATTATTAATAATCATATTATTTTTTTAATTCGACCTAAAATAATCCATCCCTTCGAAAATTTGCAACTGGCTCTCAAGTACTATTGGAAATAATGTTTTAACTAAATTTCTTTTTAATTGTAGACATAACATTTACAAAGTGGAAAGGATACCTGGCAGCAAACACAAAATGCGAATTTCAAAATACCAAAAATACATTGTACCAGGAACAACGTACAATATAAACAAGAAAAACAACCAAATGTGTAACGCGATTTTTAGCTGACGAGTAATCTTGTGATTTTAATTATTATTTTTTTTACCATGGACTTGTTAACAATTTTTTTTAATGCTGTGTTGTAAAAAGACTTTAGTTTTAGTAGATGTCTGCTCAATAAATTTTGTAAATAATATTTAATATATTAATAATTATTTCTTACATTTGATTTTATTTCACTAAAAATATGAAGTGACGGACCCAATTTTAATTATTTTGGGTATTTATATCGTAGATGTTAAAAAATGCTCGGATAGGTAGATTTAAGTTTGGAGGGGGACATCCTTCAATCATACCCTCATCTGTCAAACGTCATCCCCCCCATCACTGTAACCAATTCAGTTAATATGGGGAGTGTCTCAAATAAGTCACATTATTGAAAAGGTAATTTTATTGAGAACTCAGCAATGTGACTATTCATTACGTTGCTTTTGATTTTATCGCCCTCTAGCGGGATAAAAACTGTTCGTATTATAAAGAATGATACTTAATATGAAAATTTTTTGTTAGTGATTTAAAATCCAAGTTCGGCTTAATAAAATTCGGCAATTACTCTGTCTCGAAAAACGACACCCTGAATAACAAAATTTTCCCTATCCGATGAGATTTCAAAAAAGCGGAAAATAATTTAATTAGATAAGGGGCCATCCATAAATTACGTCACACGTTAAGAGGGGGGAGGGGGTCGACGAAGTGTGACATTGTGTGACAAGGGGTGGGAGGGGTCTTACATTTCGTGACGTCACATTTGTAAAAAAACTGTGTAAAAGTAGCTCTAAAACTTCGAGATACTGTTGGTCGGCGTAGAGTAGAAGAAAACCAATCCGGTATACATGAAGTCATAAAGGATATTGCAGTTTTTGGTGGCCCAGCTAATGAACGCCATCGCACTGAAGCTATAAAGGTGCTGCAAAACATTGGACGATTTACAAGCCGAACTTTGTAAACAGGGATATAGCATCAGTCGATCAGGGTTATACTTCAGACTTCTTCTCAGACGAGTCAATACAGAGGAAACAAAGAGACAAGTCGTAACTGTTCCTGTTAAACTATGCAAACCAGATTCTACGCTAATGGCACATTTTGTACTGCTACGATAGGAAACCTTAAATCTTTAGCTTCAATTTTGGCCCCTGATCAAATTTTCTTTTTATCATATATAGCAGCAAATTCTTAAGCACCAATATTATTGTACCTTGATAAACGTGTAAAATTACCGGATCATGATTTCGTGGTCGCGGAAAAACATAAACTTATTCCTTCTGTTTATGCAGGTATAAAGAAAGATGGCGAAGGGAAACCTGAAGCTGTGACACACTCTGTAATTGAAAGCATTCTTCCTCTAATGCAGAGACTCATGCCACAGACATACATAGACTTTCTGAAACACCTGCTTTCAAAAACTTTATGAGTACTCGAGAAGGTTTTGTAAAACCCGTATTTATTTTTACTTGCGATGGTGGTCCCGACGAAAATCCATGATATGAGCGAGTTATATTTTCAGCTAAACAACATTTTAAAAATTTTTACTTAGATGCTATTATTTACATTGCCACAAATGATCCAGGAAGAAATGCTTTCAACAGAGTGGAACGACGAATGGCGCCTCTTAGTCGCGAACTTACTGGTGTTTTATTAAAACATGACAATTTTGGTTTACACCTCGATTCTAGTAATCGAACTGCTGACTTGGAGTTAGAAGAACGAAACTTTGAGAGTGAAGGCATTGTGCTGTCTAATATTTGGAGCCCATTGGTCATTGATTATTTTCCTGTGGTTGCCGAATACATTGTGCCAACAGATTAGATTGGATATTGAACACGCTAAGGTATTGAAAAATGATGCGACTTGATACGCAAATCATGTGCGTGAATCACAATATTTATTATAAATAGTAAAATGCGAGGTTATCCCTTGTGGTGTGCGACGATCTAGCCTTTGGCGACTATTACGAGAGGGGTTTTTACCACCATCTGTTTTAGTTAAACAGACGTCAAACGGGTATGTAACTTAGAAAAAGATGACTCCGAAGATAAATTTGCTCCACCGTTACTTTAGCTACCTTTGGATCTCTGAATATCATCACATTCGAAGCAAGTTCCGTATGATAACTATTGTCCCAGTGTCGATGCATACTTGTTTAAGCGATCGTGTGGTATCTGTGGTCTATATTTGGCATCGTACAAAGCCACTAACCAACACAAGCAATCACATAAGAGGCAACAAGAAGTTTTGCACATTACGAAGATGTATCCTCAAAGAATTCTTTGTTTGGATAACGATGATGCCATTTGGTTGCATGAAAAAGATGTTGACACAACGAATGTTCCTGGCAATAACAACCCAAACGAGACCGAAGTTACTGCTATACAAGTTATAAATAATTTGAAGGACTGGGTTCAAAGTCCATGGACTCAAGAAGTTTGAATATTTGTTAATATTTTAAAATGTTTGATTTGATGTTGATTTTATTAAAAATAATTTTAATGGAAGTAAAACTAATTTCGCAACTGCTGTTTTAATTTAATAATTTCTAGATTTAAAATTGCAAAATATGTGACGCCACACTAGGGAGGGGGGAGTCTCCCAAATGTGACTAGCTGTGACTAGGACGGGAGAGGGGTCAAAAAATCATAAAATTCGTTTGACGTAATTTATGGATTGCCCCTAAGGATCTTTTATCGAGATTTAATTCGAAATTTGATATATTTAAGTTAATAATTTGGATATTGGAGACTTGTGTCCTGGATGATTAAAGCGTGTGCACAGAATACGAATAGATAAGTTCGAATCCCCATCGACAGAATTTTCAAATTTTTCATTAAATTTGTTTTCATTTTAGTGGTTTAAAAATAATTTTCATTATATCGCAGAAAGAATTTAATAATAAATTTATAATACTTTGGTTTTGGATCAATAACCGATAGTTTTTCGTATCTTTAAACAGATATTTTATTAAATTATTATGTTTTAAGTTATTTTAATCTTAGAATCACTTACCTAATGAAAATTGAGTGAACTCGTTAAAATTTTAAATGCACGAATTAATCTTAGGTTTTCCAAAAAATTCTCGGCCGCCTGTGTGTTGAATTCCTCTAACACTTTTGATAAATTTAATTGCATTATTGATTTCTATTAATAATTTTGGTTTATTTATTTGGAATAATGTCGAGTAGGGCCATTCTGATAAACGCACCAAAAGATAAATTCAAAATGGATCTCAAGTGGACGCTCAAATCATCTGCGTCTTGACGCTTCAAACCAGTTCTGAAAATATAATATCTTCTTCGTAAAATGTACCTACCCGTGATTATCTCTATACCCATATTAATATGCCTATGGATTTACTTTTTAATATTATTAAGAAATAGTATTTTACAATCCACCGCAGTAAATTTAAATATCATCGATGCGAAAAATAATACTGCGGAACGTTGTAAAGAAGTGAACAGTTCTGGTTTAGTGAAAGATATTGGCGGTTTTAAGAAAAGAAAGAAAATTCACGTTCCCAAATTTATGTTGGAATTGTACGAAAAAAATAAAATTGGTGGTAAGGGGGTAAAGCGACCAGATGTTGTGAGGAGTGTAATACCAACACATGCGGGTAAGAAATTAATAACTTAAAGCTTGATGTGAATTAGTATATACGACAATTTTTATATAATTTTATTTAGTAATATTGTGATTATAAATCTCCAATTCCACAATAATTTATAAAGATGTGGCAATCGAAAAAATCCACCCTGATCATTTTAATCCCAAGTGGTGATGCTTACCTTAAAATTTCAAATGAGACTATGTCAAACAATTTTCTTGTATTGTTTTTTTGTTTCTTTTTTTTTATTTTCGAATTTAGACTAGTAATTTTTAAATAATTGTCTTTGAAATATGGTAGGTAAAGTTCCAAAAATTGGAGTCTAAATTTAGCAACCCGAGTAGTATATATTTCTTAGTTTCATTATACAGGGTGTGAATCCTTGGGTGATTTTAAGAAAAAAAGTTAATATCAACATATGTCGTAAACCTCTTAATTTTTAAGCTACAAAATGTTACAGTTTCAAAAAAATTATCATAATTTTATTATCATTTTTTAAGGTCAAATATTTTTTAAATTTATATTAGTGACGTCCGTACGGAGTACTGAATATTTATGAAAAAAAAAATGGTACGCTACTGCTTTTTCTGAAAACCAAGTTTATTGAAAGTGCTTGTGATATTTTGTTGAAATTTGGTAGGCACCTACCATGAGTGGAAACACTTTCTTTGGGGCGAACATTAATTTTCTACTTTCACCAGTGAGGCTTACGCATGATATTGAATGTTTGTATAAAAAAAATGGTAGGCCTGTGATTTTTTAAATTCTATTTAAAAAAACGCGATTTATTTAGCGAAACGATAAATTCAAAATATTAAATCTAAAGCGAAATGACAAGAGAATACAAACAAAATAAAGAACCCAAATTATTTACAGTAATAATTACTGTTGGAACAATTATTTTTGGAAGTGTCCTCCACCTACACGTAAGCAAGTATCTACTCTTCTTCGCATAAACTGACGCACATTTTCAAAGATTCCTGGGGTGTTTCTTATGGATTGACAGCATAATACTATTGTACGATTTCGTAATAATTTTTCTTCTAAAACATATAATAAAGCTAGTGGCAAAATACCATATTCTACAAATATTGGTCGACAGGAATCATATTTAGGAAATTTACCTATTATTCTAAGGAACTTCCTTAGTAAGACAATATTAGTAATTTGTCGGGGATGAATATTAACACTGAAAACATGAAGGTGATACGAGTTGGTCGAAAAAATAAACAAGGAAAATGGCCTATAAAAGCTATTTTCCCGGAAATGGCTACTGTTCAAGAGAGCCTAAAGAAAAAGAGATTATTATCAAGCAAGGGGCATTACATTTCGGCGGATTTAACACCAATGCAAAGGAATTTATTAAACAAAGCAAGAGATGAACTAAAATCAAGGCAAGCTAATGGTGAAACCAATATTACTATAAAATACGTAAAAGGCATCCCAACAATAATAACTGTCTCCACTTTGACAAAAAACTAGGAAATATTTTATGTTATTATCAGAATATCGGTGGTCTACGATCCAACCTGTCACAGTTTAAAAACTTAGTGTTACAGAGTTCGTATGAGGTCATAATATTATCAGAAACCTGGTTAACAAATGACATAAGTGATGATGAATTATGTATCCAAGGGTACTCTATCTTTCGTTGTGATCGTTCAATTCATTCTAGTGCTAAGAATCGTGGCGGTGGCATATTGCTAGCTGTTAATAATAAATATAAGCCAAAATTAATTAATACAAATCCTCAAGTTGAACAATGTTATGCTGAGTTAGTTGCGGGTACTTGTAAGTTTGTTGTTGGTGGTGTTTACCTTCCTCCGAATTCAACAGCAGATAAATATATGATTCATGCAATGGAAGTTGAAAATTTGATGAAACGTTATGTAAATCACTCTTTTATAATTGTCGGAGACTACAATCTGCTTCATGGTCAAATGGCAACTTAGGAGTGACTGTTCAGTGTCCAATTAACTCACCTGCTTATGATTTATGTGAAACATTTAGTTTCTTAAATTTCTTTCAACTAAATAATATTTTAAATAGCCGAGGCATTCTCCTGGACTTAATTTTTTCCAATTTAAAAGATGTACTAATTTCTTCAGCAGTTGATTTACTGCACCATAATAGTATATACCACACAGCATGTACTTTTAGCATTCCTACTGAACCCCCTACTAAAGCATTGGATGTTGAAGATAAAGTTTTTGATTTTTCACAGGGTAACTATGATGCTATTAATTATTATCTATCTACAATAGATTGGGCTACTTATTTAACCAATACGGATGTCAATGTTGCAGTACAACAACTATATGATGTATTGTACTATTCAATGCACTCTTTTATACCCACAAAGATTATACGCAATACAAAATTTCCAACTTGGTATAGCTCTGAACTAAAGAGCTATATATTTGAGAAGAAGAAAGCACATAAATTATATATGCAAACCAGAAATAATAATGATTATTTATTATTCTCCAACTTAAGAATAACATGCAAAACACTAACTGATGAATGTTACCAACAATATATTGCAAGGGTTGAGAACAATATATCGACAGACCCTAAATCATTTTGGCGCTTTGCTAAAGATAAATCAAGGGGTGAATTTCCGAATGAAATGTATCTAAATAATAAAATTAGTAATAATGGCTGTGATACTGTAAATTTATTTGCTGATAATTTATCTACAGTTTATGTCAAGACTGATTGTAATGTACCTGTATTAAACTATAAGAAAACCATTAATGTAAATAATGTAAAAGTGACCTTGAGTGAAGTTTTTTCTAAAATTTCTCAATTAAAAGACAGTTTCTCTTGTGGTCCAGATGGAGTTCCATCTTACTTTTGAAAGAGGTGTGTCTGTACTGTTAGTACTCCTATTTCTATTATTTACAATATTTCACTTGATTCAGGAGTATTTCCGAATTTTTGGAAATACAGTTTTATAAGACCAATTTATAAATCGAGATGTAATCGTGACATTAAAAATTACAGAGGAATATGTTTGCAATCTAACATTCGATTCACTCATTACAGAATATTTGTCATGGGAATGTAAAGGGCTAATAATTGATCAACAATATGGTTTTTCACAAGGAAAATCTACAGTAACTGCCTTGTTAAGTTATAAAAATGAAATATTGGGTGCTTTTGAAGGGGGGTATCAAGTACATTCTGTCTATACTGACTTTTCAAAAGCATTCGATAGAGTTAACCATGAATTGTTGATCGCCAAGTTGAGCTCATATGGTATCAATGGTAAACTTTTAAATTGGCTATCTAGTTTTTAAATTGGTAGGTATCAGTGGGTCAAAATTGGGAATCACATTTCTTATTTGATTGAAGTATTGTCTGGTGTTCCTCAAGGATCCCATTGTGGTCCGCTTCTTTTTAATCTATTTGTAAATGACATTGCATGTTGTATAAAAAAGTCTCAGTTCCTACTATTTGCAGATGATTTAAAAATCTTTAAAATTGTTGAAAGTATATCTGATTGTTTTGATTTACAGACTGATATTAACAACCTAGCATTGTGGTATAATGTAAATTGTATGAATTTGAATTTAAGTAAATGTTTTTATATTAAGTTTAATAGGTGCCATACTAATATAGACTATACTTATTGTATCAATTCATTAGATCTTGAATTGGTGACCAAAATAAAGGACCTTGGCGTAATGTTTGATGAAAAACTTACTTTTTCAGAACACATTACAATGATATCATTAAAAGCCAGAAAGTTGGGTTATATACAAAGAATCTCTAATGGTCTCTCAATAAATTCTTTTAAAATTCTTTACTGCACTCTTGTTCGTTCTAATATGGAATATGCAGCTGTTGTCTGGAACCCTTATTATTGCATTCACATTAATTGACTTGAAACGGTTCAACATAAGTTTCTGAGATGCTCAGCATATAAATTAGGAGTGCGTATAAATAATTACGATTATGATTATGCTAACCTATGTTCCAGATTAGAAATCACAACTTTGCAGAACCGGAGAACTCAATTAGATCTATGCTTCCTATTCAAACTTTTGTCTGGGTCAATATATTCTCCTGATATTTTATTAAAAATTGGTCTTAAAATTAATAGTGCAACCGGAGCTAATGAAACTTTTTTTATTAGATACCATAGACAAAATTACGGCTTTTATAGTCCATCAACACGATTGGCTAGGAGTGCTAACAGTATAGAAATAGACTTGGATTTTTTTGGTTCCTCATATCCTTCATTTAAAAGAAGTATTGCTAACCACTTTCTTAATGACACTTGAAAGTACTGTTATTGTCTGCCTTGTTAATCAAATGTTTTAATCATATGTTTTAATCAAATGTTTTACATGATACAATTTTTGATGTTGTTTTTTATTTTGTATTTGTGCATATAACATATATTTTTATATTTTTTATTGTAAAATGGGGGTTTCCCGTAAATAAATAAATAAATTCCATAAATTTGACGCTAGTATTTAGCCAGTTCATTCCTAAATTGTATGCACAATGTCTGAGAAACCTCCTCTATACATCTAAATCACATAAATTTCGTCTGCTAACCAGCAAAACAAAAACACACTAAGTCAGATTTGATGAAAAATCCATTAAGGTTTTAATTGTTAGAGGACATAGTGGATTTTACCAGTTTATATGGAAGAAATAACTGATCTAAATAAGTCAAAAATAAGAAAATTGACTTGGTGTACTTGTAAACCAACGATTTGTTTAGGTACAACTTGTTTGTGTGTAATAAGAATTTTTTATAAATAAAACTCGATAAAGCTTCATCCAAAAATGTATAAACATACAATTAACGCAAAGGATACAATAATTTAAATACAATTCAATAATTAAATATAAAAATCCAACATAAAATAAATAAAAAAAATACAATATTAAAGAATCAAAAGTGGTAATTACAATTTAAAAAAAGGATAAAATTGAAACCTTTTTCTACTAAGCTGAATTAATCAGGGGAGTGTGTTTCTCTAGAAACGTGA